CATATTGAATTGAAATCTGTTGCTTTTGGTAGTCAGGTTTTGACCATGATTTCTTGGGTCTTTAATTAAGTTCTCTAACTGGTTTTTACCGCACCAAACTCTCCTGAAGTTGAATTGCAAGATCACTTTTTTTTGTTACAGTGGAGTCGTCCCTTGGTATATATTATTGAATCTGTCCTGTGGTCTTCTATTGGAGCCTTAGATGAAAGTTGAAACATTTGAGAATCTAAGTCCTCTAAGTGTGGCGGTGCATTTGACTTCAACATTATTTCTTATCCTTACTTCTCTTGGAAACCTCGAGGGCAAAATAAGTTAGAAAAGGAACCACCAACAAGACATAACAATTACGCCTCAATCCCAAAGTAGGCGTGGTCAGCAATTGCTTGTCTTGGTGTCACTTTTTAATGCTCTTTCCAGAGTTTGCCCCTTTACCCTTCCTGTGAACACATGACCTTGACATGTCTCATTTTGCATTCTCTGTTGGTTATCTGTTAGTATATGTTATACCTTCATATTCCTTGTCATTCAGCTCATCAGATTGAGGGGATCTATTCATTACTTCTGTGTTTACATCTGGAGGCAAGGGAGTTTTCTTATCAAGTTGCTTGTTTCTCTTTTTGCTAGTAAGGAGAGGCAATGTGGAAGATCTTAGTTTTAGAAGTAGGATAGCTAGAACCCGAGGTTGGTGGTGAAGAATTTGGATTCATCTGATTCTGGAGGAGCATAGGAATTTAATTCTTGATGTTGCAACATGTTGTTGCCTTTCTTATATCCCTTATTCTCATCATTTTGGGTCAGGGAATTGGAGCTGGCAAAGTTTCTAAGGTCCATTCCTAAGTTTCAGAATCGGTTCAAAGTTATCTTCATTGGAATGTAAAAACCGTCACTGAGTAAGATCCAGGACACACTAGAAGTTAGAATATCTTTCCTTAAGTCGTGTTCCCTCCACTCATTTTAGTTGCATGTAACTTCAGATTTACCAGAAGACAACAACAACAACGACCCAGTATAATCCCACAAGTGGGGTCTGGGGAGACAAAATGCAAAATTTTTATGCACCGAAGATCATACCATCTTCATGGAACTTTAATGTATTATTATCTCGTCTAGATTGATCATCTTCTAAGCTTATACGAGTAAAGATAATGCCATGTTGAAGTAAGAAAGTGAAAGAAACTCATGTCCTTGTTATTATCATTTTTAATTTTGAAAAGATTATTTGAAAAGAAAATTAAGATAAAATTTAATAACATGTCTATATCTAGTTTAATGCTGCGAAAAGTCGAAGAATCATTAGTATGGTTTGTGATTAAGCTTTGATAATCCAAGCTTCATCATTATCCTTCTTCGAGATGTACCAGTAATCAACCTGAAATGAATGCAACCAATTCACAGCCACAAATTGATACTTCATCAATGTGAAGAAAATCTGTGGGGACCATTTCTTTCTTGCACATGATACATCTATCAGGAGAAATTATCCGTTTTAGCCTTTAGATAGTTACACTTTCAGTATTTATGTAGTTATTATCAACTAGACTGCAAAAATCTTTTTTTTCCAGAAGGGGCCTTGTGTTTTAACTGAAATCTTATTGCTTTGCAAAGGAAACATGTCAGCCATATTTTTTTCATTAGACCTCTGATAGTGCACTTCCCTGATTTCATGTCATGCTTCTGTCTGTTTTAATGTTCTACTTCTTTTTGCTCATTACTGAAATAAAGTACCTGCATGGCAATTCAAGACTGCAGAGAGGAAAGTGCTTTATGTTCCATAGGATCTTGAGTTTTGGTTTTTGTGGTTTGGGTCTTTTATTGCTGACTCCTACGGTGTCAAGTTTGCCCTGTGTTTCACATTTGTTCCTTGTGAAGTAGATTTTTCTTTTTTATTATCAATTTTCCTTTTTCTCCTACAAGGACACTTGAATACCTTAATAGATTTTCCAACCCTGAAGAAATGATATTGACATGTTATTTCTGCAGGTATCAAACCTTATCTATGTGGACCAACCTACAGGTACTTGCTTTAGTTACAGTTCTGACAGACATGACATCCGTCACAGTGAAGCAGGTGTTAGAGACGACTTGTATGACTTCCTACAGGTTTGTTCTGTGTGAAACTAAACGCCTAAAGCAACATGGAACTATATACATTTACTCCTCTGGAATTCAACCGTTGTAATCATTGTCTTATGATTAGAGATAGTCAATTGTTAAACTTAATGATATGGATGGTTCCTATGTTTTCTTCACCTATCAATTGCTAATTTCATATATGTTATTGGTCTAAATTTGGGCGGCTTGACAACTGCGGATAAACAGGTTCGAGGACGTGGTCGACCACGACACAATGGCGAGGTGTATCCTTCGGAAGGGGTATTGCCGAGGTCGAGTGAATGGAATAAAGAATCAACAGTAGGATAGATTTAGAAATACACACAAGGAATATTCCTTCTGTTGTACTTTTTAGGGTTTCTTGGGGATATACTTTATAAATAAGAAGAGATAGAGAACAAGGGGGGGGGGGGGGGTGAGATCTTCACTTTTTGATAAGAGCACATTGTAAAGGGTTGACTATAAAGAATATACAAACGTTGTCTTGTTCATTGACGACATTTCTCAACATATGTTATTCAATCCACGTTTGTAAGATCCAAAGATTCCTTATCCATCCTCACATCCCATCCTTCTATGCTACTGTCAGGTGGAAGAATCATCCAAGTCATATAATATTTGGGTGATAAATCCCCTCTTATTATATTTATTGCAATTGTCTACATTTATTGCATGTTCTTATCATATATTTATTGACAATCATTGAGCTCATACCCGATATTCATTATTTTTAAACATTGTCCATACCGTTGGTGTTCTCCAGTATTAGATCTAGAATTTATTATGTTTAACTAGGATTCACTTCTATTTCATTATTAATTAGTTTAACAAAAAGCTTACACCTTTTGGTCAAACAATTTGGCGCCGTCTGTGGGGAGGTTTTAGGTAAAATTTTAGTTTCTTCTAGATCATAAAGAAGGACATCCATCTTTTCCTCGTTTGCACGAACTAACAATGGCAGGAAAAGGAGATGAAAGACAGAAAGCAATAGTGGGTGTCATTACCAACATCTTAAACACCATCAACAAGGATGACATAGAAGACGATGAGAATGTGACGTCGAGTGCTACACCCAGGCGAAGTGATTTACCTCCCCCTCATGGAAGTGTAACCGCTTCACGCGAAAGGGGAGCTTCCACGTCCACAGCTGAGGAAGCGCCACCAATAGTGAAAAAATTACTGGAGGAGTGGCTGACAACTACTCTAAATAACATACTCGACAAACCCGTTCAAAGGGCGAATAGAAACGCTGCGCCAGAAGATACCACAACGGTCGTTGGCGAACAACCCGCTCCCCCAACAGGTAACACTCACACCGTTGTTGATATGGGTAATGATGCACATGCGGCCATTCTAAGGAAAATGGAAGAAATAAAAAACGAGAACAAATAACTCCACAACCAGATGAGGGAACATCAAGAAAGAGTCAATAAGATACCGGGTGCCCCAAAATTACTACCAAAACGGGATGTCGGCCGATTCGTCGAACAACCGTACAACGAGGAGACATCCTATATGCCATACCCAAGACCTTTAAAATGCTATCGTATTTGAAGATATACGACGATACCACAAACCCCGAAGATCACATCATTAATTATATCACAACAGTAAAAGGCAACGACCTTTAAAAGGAGCATGTACCATCAGTGTTACTGAAAAAGTTTGGCGAGACTCTAATGGGGGGAGCCTTAACCTGGTACTCACAATTACCAGCACGTTCAATAACAACATTCGAAGAAATGGCCGACAAGTTCGTCACCGCCCACGTCGGGGCTAAGAAGGCAGAGGCCAGAGTGAATGATATATTTGCCATTAGGTAATCGCCTGCGAGGGACTCAGGGACTTCCTCACTCGGTTTAACAGAGTAAGAATAAGCTTACCAAATGTATCAGAAGGGATAGCGGTGGTAGCTTTCCAAAATGGATTGAACATGAATGGGCTGAGAGCGACCATAAAGTTATTAAGCCGGCTCATGAAATACCCTCCCACCACTTGGGAAGAAATTTACAACGCCTATTACCCCAAGGTGAGAGCAGACGAGGATGACCTTAACGGTCCAACCTAATGGTTAACGTCGGTCCAAACAGAGTCGATGAGGGACCGTCGTAATGACGGTCAAAGAGACTAATCAGGTCCATGCTTCAACCGAGACATGCATCAACCATATGTCAGAATAGTCATCCCATCATCCCCTTGCCATGCGGAAGGGCGTCCAGGCCGCATACAGGGACTCACCGAAACTAAAGAGGTATGCCTCCACTCTTATCTGCTCACAATATTTTTGTTTTCCCTTCAGAAATAGTGTATGCACTAGAGAAGCTTGGCACAAAGATGAAGTGGCCACAAAAAATGAAGTCCGACCCAAGTACCCGAAAGTCGAACGTCCTCTATAAATTTCACCAAGAGCGGGGACACAAAACCGAAGACTGCATAGCCCTACGGCAAGAAGTAGTGAACATGCTTCACCAAGGGCACCTGACAAAGCTAATGAGCGATCGAGGACGAGCCAACTTTGGCCGCGGACGAGAACAACACCAAGGCCCTCCAAAGCCACCCTCCCCCGCCCGTGCCATCCAAATGATCATTAGTAGGGGCGATGAAGCAGTAATCAACCATGTGAAATTTACCACCACAGATAAACTGAAGCGGTCGATCACCCACGAATGGTATGATTACCTCGAAGACAGTATCATCTTCGATAAGTTAGATACCCACGATTTGTCTTTTCCTCACTTCGATGCTCTTGTCACTACTTTACGTATTTCGGATACTGATGTAAAAAGAATAATTGTAGAGGAAGCGGCGCATGTATTATCCACCCTCGAGTTCTCACACAGATGAGACTCGAGGACAAGATAGTACCACATTGCATAACACTAATAAGTTTTAACAATGTAGTTGAGTGAACCTCATAAGAGATAACGCTACCCATTCTGGCCGGGGGCGTCACCCTAGAAACAACATTCCATGTCATAAATCAGGACACAACTTACAACGCCATCATAGGGCGACCATGGATACACGTCATGAGGGTCATCCTGTCCAGCCTGTATCAAGTAATCAAGTTCCCTACTCCATGTGGGATATTTAGCATCCGTGGTGAACAACGCACAACCCAAGAATGCTATCACATCGCTGAGGATTGTACATACACTCAACAGTTAAAAGGAACAACTCAGAAGCGTAGCAATTACCAAAACCGGGGGCCGAACTCAACGAATAAAAAGACGTCATCAGGGACCCCGACGACATGGAAGCCGCTGGGTCAACGGTAGAGGACCTCGATCCCATCCAACTAGACAATAGCAATTAGCAATAACAACAAAAGGCTTACATTGGCCATAAACTCTCAAATCCAGGTAGATTTCATAAATTTTTAATTGAAAACGTCGATTTATTCACTTTCTCCCATGCAGATATGCCAGGCATCCCGAAAGATGTTGCCATACACAAGTTGAACATCGATCCACTCTACCCTCCAATACGGCAAGTAAGAAGAAAATTCAACGCCGCAATCAACGCGACCATCAGCGATGAGGTGGATAAGCTACTCGCTAACAGTTCCATTTGAGAATCAAAATACCCTCAATTGGTTGCCAACATAGTCATGGTGAAAAAGAAAAATGGGAACTGGCGAATGTGCATGGATTTCACGGACCTAAACAAGGCCTACCCGAAAGACTCTTTTCCGTTGCCTCATATTGATCAGCTCATCGACGCAACAACAAGGCACGAGTTGTTGAGCTTCTTGGACACCTACTCAGGTTACAACCAAATCCTCATGGAGAAGGAGGATCATGGAAAGACTACTTTTATCACCCATCAGGGAATATACTGTTACAAAGTCATGCCATTCGGGTTGAAGAACGTAGAGATGACTTATCAAAGGTTGGTCACCAAGATGTTCAAGGACCAACTCAGCAAAACAATGAAAGTTTACACAGACAATATGTTGGTCAAATCAAAAAGGAAGGAAGACAATATCGACCACCTGAAAGAGGCCTTCGGTATACTAAGGCAATACGGCATGAAGCTGAACCCCGAAAAGTGTGACTTCGGCGTAACTTTGGGCAAGTTCCTCGGCTTCTTGGTATCACAAAGAGGCATCGAGGTCAACCCCGACCAAATCAAGGCCATCGAGGGAATACCTGAAGTATTGAACAACAAAAAACAGGTGCAAAAACTAACAGGCCCCATAGCTGACCTGTTGATGTTCATCTCACGATCCTCCGACAGATGCCATAAATTCTTCAACGTGCTCACAAAGGACAACGAGATCTAATGGAATTCAGAATGCATCGAGGCCTTAAGAGAACTAAAGGCGTACTTGTTCTCACCCCCTACTCGCCAAAGCAAAACCTGGCGAGCGCCTCCTGATATACTTAGCAGTATTAGATGTCGCAGTAAGCGTAGTATTGGTCTGTGAAAACAAAGGTACACAATTTCCAATCTATTATATTAGCAAAACCCTGGTCGACGCCGTGACAAGGTACCCCCACCTCGAAAAATTGACCTTGGCATTGGTCATAGCTTCACGAAAGCTTAGACCCTATTTTCAATGCCACCCCAAATCGGTAGTGATGACCTTTCCCCTAAGGAGCATCCTACCTAAACCCAAACTATCGGGGAGATTGGCCAAGTGAGCCATATAATTGAGCGAGCACGATATAGCATATCAACCGCTAACAATGATAAAATCGCAAGTACTCGCCGACTTTGTCGCCGATTTCAATGCCAAAATAATGCCCGAAGTCAAGCAGTAAACTTCTTGTACCGCTCATAGGTTACCCGACCTATGGGTCTTATACACCGATGGCACTTCCAACGCATCAGGATCTGGACTAGGACTCGTACTCGAGGTCCCAACATGCGAAGTCATCCGCCAATCCATACGGTGCCCCGATATGACTAACAATGAGGCCGAGTATGAGGCCGTAATTGTAAGACTAAAGCTAGATCTCAAATACGGAGCACGACGAGTCATCCTCAAATGCGACTCACAACTCATTGTCAACCAAGTCACATAGACTTTCCAAATCAAATAACAAAGGCTACAAAAGTACTAGGCAGAAATTCATAAACTACTACCATAATTTGATGAATGTCGACTCGACCAGATACCTCGAGCACAAAACAACGAGGCAGACGGCCTCGCCAAGTTAGCAGCGGCCACCAAAAATATTACAAGAGAAAACGTGGCCACCCTTCTCCACTCGTCAATAAACCAACTTGAGGTCCACTTTGTAATTTTGACTTGGGACTGGCGCAACCGTATTATAACATACTTGCAGGAGGGAATACTCCCATCAGACAAAAAAGAAGCAAAAAAGCTTCGAATGCAGGCAACCAAGTATAACATCATAAACCATGACCTATACAAAAGAACGTTTGGAGGCCCCTTGGCAAAATGCCTAGGGCCAGACCAAACAAGATGTGTCCTCGAGGAAGTACACGAAGGCCACTGCGTTGCCCATACGGGCAACTGAGCCCTCATCAGATGCCTCATTCGGGCGTGTTATTATTGGCCCACAATGAAGAAGGAAGCCGCCGACTACGTCAAAAAGTGCGAGCAGTGCCAGAAATACGCTCCAATGATACACCAAAAAGGCGAGCACCTCCACTTAGTTACATCACCATGGCCGTTCATCAAATGGGGAATGAACATTGTCAGACCCCTTCCAACAGGGTGAGGTAATATATAATTTCTTTTGGTTTTAACTAACTATTGTTCCAAGTGGGTAGAAGTAGGTGCATTCGCCCAAATACACGAACAGGAAGTTATCACATTCATATGAAGAAACATCATATGCCACTTTAGCATACCCAAAGAAATCAGTTGTGACAACAGACCCCAATTCATTGGAAAAAAGACCGTCGAATTCTTCGAAAAATGACACATCTAGAGAATACTCTCCACGCCATATCACCCTGTTGGTAACGGTCAGGACGAATCCTCCAACAAAACAATACTAAATATCTTGAAGAAAAAGCTTGAGGACGCCAAAGAACTATGGCTGGAATTGCTACCAGAAGTACCGTGGGCATACCACACCACGCCAAAAACAAGGACAAGAGAAACGCCATATTCACTAGTCTATGGGATTGACACCATGATACCAGTCGAGGTCGGAGAACCTAGTTTGAGATACTCCAATGAAAGCGGACCAAGCAACGACGAGGAAAGGAAACAAGACCTCGACGAAGCAGAGGAGCGAAGAGATATGGCTTACATAAGAATGATAGCCTAAAAATAGCAAGCAGAACGGTACTACAACAAAAAAGCCAAAGTACGACTACTCAAAATTGGAGACTATGTACTCAAGGCCAAAACACAGGCGAGCAAAGATTCAAGAGAAGCTAAACTAGGAACCAACTGGGACGAGCCATACAAAATCACAACAGCAGCAAACAAAGGATCATTCCAACTAGAAACAATGGAGGGAAAGCTACTACAAAACAATTGGAACGTCTCCCACCTCAAATACTTCAACTTCTAAAAATGTACGCCCTTCAAGTCGTACTTTTTTTCCCTCGCCCGGGTTTTGTCCCAATTGGATTTTCTCGTGAAGGTTTTTAATGAGGCGACGAAGGGGACGTCTTGAATTTCAAGTATAATTCATCACCCCGCCTGCGGACTACTTCTCCAGGCCGAACGATGAAGGGACTAGGTACACTGGAACTTCTCCAATATATGCATGGAACAAACAGAAACATGTAATATTCTCCAATGAATGAAATAAAGCAGCATCTTTGCACTCCACCAAGTCACTTTACATTTTACATTCGGCCTCGCTCAAATTACTTTACATTCGACCTCGCTTGAATTACTTTACATTCGACCTCGTTCGAATTACTTTACATTCGACCTCGCTCGAATTACTTTATATTTGACCTCGCTCGAATCATTTGAGTTTTGACCTCATCAAACCTCGACCTCAAGTCAGTCTATGTTCGACTCAACCAATATCAAACATATACAAACAATCAAAAAATCAGGGGCTTCCCCACATAGCAAAACAAAAACAAGGAAAGGAGAAAGGGAATCCAGAAATACATAGAAAAAAGGGAATTGTTCCATTTCAATTATCGGATTACAAAACTTTTTACAAAGGGCTCGAGGACGCCCTCACAAAAATAGCAAAGCAAAAAAAAAAAAAACTAAGTGCAACAGCTTCACGCCACATCATCCCCATCGGCGTATTCATCATCATACCAAGGATCAGAGGCAAGCCTATCTGCGGCATCGTCATCCTCATCCCCGCCAGGCGTACCAGGGTCGTAACCACAAGCTTCACGGGTTGCACGTGCCTTGACACAGACGCCCTCAAGCTCCGCCTCGAAAACTTTCCCGACAGCCTTCAGAGATTTGCACACGTCAAGTTGAGCCTCGGCATGGACCCACATCTTATACAACTCCTGCGGCACACCGGGATCTGCAGAAGTATGAGATGTAGACGGCTGTGACTGCCTTCGAGTCTCCTCGGCCCTCAAGATAACAACTTACTCGTTTAACCCACAACTCCGCCTCCAAACCCTGGATCCATTCTTCCAACCTCGCCACCTTAAGCGCCGATGTCTCCACCTCATTAACCCGCTCGGACCTGCAAACACGGAGGGGGTCTTCTAGGGCCGCCGCTTTAGCCATAGCGGCCATTCTGCTTTTCTCGCCCTGACTCAATTCTTCGACCTTGGCACTCAGCTCACTCCTCAGATCGACAGCCTTTGCCTCCCTCTGCCCGAGTTCAGCCGTTAAGGATGCCACCTGCACCCGAAAGCCGACGTTCTCAGCCATCACCCCTTTACTTACCTCGAGCTCATCCTCTTTGGCCTTTAGTGCAGCCTCAAGCTCGTTGCACCTACTGATGGCCCTCATAAGCTCATCTTCCCTCTCCCTTATCTCTTCATCCTTCTTCGTCAGCTCATCGTCCTTCTATTTGAGCCCATCACGAAGCGACTGAAATTCACCATCCTGGCTAAGGAAGTCGGCCAGCGTTTAGTGCTTAGTACGATACTCCTTGTACTTTGAGGTCATTTTCTTAAAAATGGTCGTCCACCGCTCCTCTCGCCGGTCATGCTCGATCCCCATGATAAGAGTCTGGCATGCAAAACGAGGAGTCAGTGTAAGCAAATTACGCATACGAAACAAATCCTAACATAGAAAAACACTTACTCGTAGAGCCATGCCGGATATACCCAACGACAGATCTGCATCGTTCATCGCCTGTAGCGCCGCATTTTCAGAAGTCGCACACAGGGGAGCAAATACCGGCACCGCCCGTTCTGAGTTGGCCAAAAGGTCGCAGTCCACGAAAATGACTATGTGCCGATTAGGACCCTCCGTCCTTATCTCCATATGAGTATTCCTCTCCAAGAAGGTTCGTGCCTCCTCAGGGTCGATGTTCGAGCTAGAGTTGTCGTCCCCCGCATGGACCGTTCTACTTCCCTGGGCCGCCGATGATGAGCCACTTTCTGCGGCCCATGTAAGCATTCTGCTATCACGAACCCCCTCAACCTCAGAGGGTCTCCTCTCCATAATGGCACCTGCCGTGGAAACGGACCCTACGTCTGGTGTAGGCGCAGATTCCGCTTCCAAAGCAATGAATTTTTCCGGCTCGACGTCAGCGACAATGGCTTTCCTGGTTTCTACCCGTCGGCTTTTCCTCGATGGTGTCTCCTAGCCATTAGATGGTTCGTCTACAAGATGATATATGTGCTAGGAAGAGATCTCATCCGGCACGACAACAGTTTGAGGGGCAGAGTCCCTCGTCGGCGGAACTTGAGTTCGACCTCCTCAAGCGGACTCAGCTAAGGCAAATTGCATGCCAGCCGATGTGATAACTTGGCGAAATACGGGCACTGGAGCCTTCGCCTTTTTAGAAATTCGTCAACCTGACACCAAAGGGAGGTCGTATCAAAAAACGATGGTAAACGGCAATAAGTCGAAGGCTAGAAATAACACTTACTGGATAGGGTCTTGGGCCCGAAACGTTTGTGAAAGGACGCCCAGTTGTGAATTCCCACGGTGTGGGGTAACACGCGAGTCACCCAATCTTCAATGTCAAAAATGGGAGAAGGCGCATGCCTCTTAGCTAAAAACAAGAAAGCCGCGAATGAGTTGGTAATGAAAGAAAGAAAAAAACGAGTATACAACAAGGTACTTACAATTGTAATTCCATTGTTCAGGAAATCCGGTCGGATTTGTCACTAGGTGTTCGGTCTTGCTGAAGAAGTACTTTTGCCAAAACTGCTGATTCGTTTTATCATCCATCCCGGCTACCAACCCTTTTATCCCTTGATACCACATGTGTATCAACGTACCTCTATAAAACCTAGGCGAAAATATATGCAACAAATGACGAACATTGACCTTATAGCCGGCCAATTCTACGTATTTCGCCAGCATCAAAAACACTTTGTACAAATAAGGGGAGAGTTGCGCCAGACATACATTATAAAATTGGCAAAACTCCTCTGCTAATGGGGGAGAGGAAGAGAATAACCAATTAAGAATAGCTAAACGTAGAAAGCACAGTACCCCGGTTGGTGAACCTCAACGATGTCACCCCCGGACGGAACAATTTCGACATGAGGAGGAATGTGATATTTAGACCGAAGGTCGGTTATTTGAGGCAATCCCATCTCAGAAAGCTTCTGAGTAGGAGCAGGAGCAGGTTCCTTTGGAAAGTCATGTCTGACCAAAGGGTTCTTAGGGACTACCTCCTTCGCGGTGGGGAAGCTTTCATCCTCTTCAATCATGAATTCCTCACCGCCGAGAGGAAGGGCCACTGATAAAGGAGTATTGGCATCAGAGACCTCGTCGTGAATATGAAGGGATTATGAAATATTTTCGTAACGAAATGTGTGCAACAAAATCTGAAGAAGATATTAACTGGGTAGGAGGTCAGGGACTAGAATCGAAGAGGATGCAAGGAAATGATAGCCGAGATCAGAGAAGAAGACCAAAGAAGAGCAACACACATGCAAAATGGAAAATGATGAAAATTTTCAAAAATGAAGCCCCCTCCATCTATTTATAGGGTTGGGTGACACCAGAATCGAAGCAACGGACCGTCAATGGCACAAAAATTGAAGCAACAGAAGCACAGACACTGCATCGGGAAGACACGTAATGATGACGTGCGTGGCCATGACGTCAACCCACGTTAGCCACACCAACCGCAGCCCTGCTAGCCACGTCATTTTGATGACCTAGGCCGGTTCGACTTATTCAACACGACCAAATTTCTTCTAAACAGATGCAGACTGGGTCCACTTATCGAGGACGTGCAAGATCACGACCTCAACAAGCGGAGGGACTAACTGTATTGGTTTAAATTTGGGCGGATTGACAACTGCGTATAAACAGGGCCGAGGACGTGGTCGACCACGGCACAATGGCGAGGAGTCTCCTTCAGAAAGGGTATTGCCGAGGTCGAGTGAATGGAATAAAGAATCAACGGTAGGATAGAATTAGAAA